CGCCGCTCGAGGCCCCGGTGGTGGCGGCGGTGCTGGACCCAGCTGAGAAAAAGGGTGTAGTGAGAATGAGTGGCCAGGGAGGGGCAGGGGAGAAGGGGGTTTCAGCAACCGGCAGGGACAGTGCAATCCCTGGGCCTCTACAGATTCCTCTGCAGACTCTTCCTGTCCTCTAGCAGATTTACAAATTGGCTGAGGGTCCCCTCCTCCAGGTCATGGGTAGAAACAGGACTGGTCTCAGTGCTGCCCAGGGGAGCCCCGCTGGGGACTGCATAGCAGCTGAATTCAACTGTCCCCTACCACTCTCTGGGTCTGGCCATCCCGACCCTTTCTTACAGTGAATGGTGGACGTGTCCAAGCCATGGGCAGCCAGTTTCTCCACAAAAATGCTTCGGGGAATGGTGTCAAAGGCTTAATGAAAGCCCAGGTAAACACCATCCCCAGCATTTTTCTCTCCCACCAAGCAAGTCACTTTGTCATAGAAGGAAAGCTGCGGACAATCCAGGAAACTTCATTGCACCCTGCTTTAAGGGTAGAATGAAGGACCCCGGGAACTACCAATCTGCCTACCAGCCTTCCCCGTGTCTGAGAAGATTCCCCTGATTCTTACCCATCAACCCTCGACCCTTTCATCACCACTGTCAATTTCTAGAGTCAAACATGCCCTCATATACAGGGCTACCCCACTGTTTCTCCTTCCTTGCTGAGCCCTTCTGAAGAGTTTATTTCCTCCCAGCTCCTTGTGCAACAGCAGCCCATTTGCTGGCAGGATGCCGTGAGGAGCCCCAAAGGCCTTGATGCTCAGTACTGATTGAAATGTCGTCTCTTCAGCACAAATCCAAACCACAGACCCACTGGAAGAAACTGATCTCCTCCTGCCCAACTCAGCATGTTCTCCAGCCTTTATTAATCCATGCTGTGTATGTCCTGCTCAGGTCCCACACCATCACAACACATCCTCACCACTCCTTTGCCCATGAAACGTCTGGGAAATGTCCATCAATCTCCAGAGCTGGGCAGCAGTTGTCCTGTGGAAGCACTGAGGAGGAGGGTGATGGAAGTGGAGGATCTTGCAGAGCCAGATAGGAGAAGCAGCTTCATGGGGCTGTGCAGCACTGTCACCATTGCTCTGGGCAGAAGTGGTTCCCCAGGTCTTCTGCTTTCCCCTTTCTAAAAATAGGGGTTGTATTTATCTTTTTCCAGTCATCAGGGACTTTACCTAACTGCCACAATTTTTCAAAAAATTATGGCTAATGGCTTAGCAACTTCTGCTAGTTCCCTCTGGGCCTGGGGATGTATCTCTTCAGGTCCCATGGTCACTTGAGCACTTGGATGGTCTCAAATCTGGTTCCTTGGATGGTCTCAAATCTGATCCTCTCGGTGGGCTCAGGGTCTTCATTCTCCCAGTCCCTGCATTTGCCTTTCTCAGTTTGGCACTTGCCATTGCAGATGGAGGCACAGAGGTCCTTGTGAACATAATTCTTCTCTTTGTGCAGGGTCTGTTTCCTTCTGGAGGGGGCCCACATGACCCCAACTGCCTTGCTTGCAAAGTATCTGTAGAAGCCCTTCCTATTATCTTTAATGTCCCTGCCCTCCCCTTAACCTTCACCCCAAGCTCTCAGCTGGCTGCTCGTGCTGCCCCAGGCAGAGTTCCATGTCTCTGGAGGGCTGCATCCCCTCCTCATCCTCCTAGCTTGTCTTTCCTCAAAAGCCTAAGCCCTTCCATTCCAGTGGTCTAGTCATAGGAGCCATCCCACCATGTCTCCAAGATATTCTGCTTTCCTTTTCACTTGTTGGCCATTGCCAATGCTTGCTTTTATTCAAATGAGAAAATTACCAAGCAGTTTGGTTAAAAATGGCTTTCCCAAGTATGGGAGGAGATGAAAGAACCTGAAACTGCTTCTTCTGATAAGTCCATAAGGGTGGGATGCTGTATGAAGCTCACTGCTGTAACTAACCAGCAACTTTCACTGATATTTTAACTAATAAAAAATGTGACTTTTTTCATGAGTGTGTGTGTAAAACACAAAAACTGTTGGGCCTTCTCCATTCTATGAAGCTTTGTTTGTGCATCTACATCCTGGGGAGCCCTTTGGCCCAGTTCTGGGTTTGTGGTGCCACCCCTCACACAGCTCCCCCACCCAGGTGTCTCCACCTGCTGGTGTGCAGCAGCCTCAGGTGTGGCGGTGAGGATGAGGAGGGGCAGTTGCTGCTGGGGGGCGTGTGTGACACCTGGCTGCCCTGCTGGCAAGAGCTGCACGGGGGGAGTCCAGGGAGCCTCGCACGGGGGGGTGGTGAGAGCATCTCACAGGGCTGGGGAGGAGCTGCGGCACTGCCCAGGTGTGCAGGGATGGGCCCTGAGCAGGAGAGGCAGGTGAGGAGGGGAACACACCCACCCTAACCCACCATAGCAGGTGAGGAGGGGAACACACCCACCCTAACCCACCTGAGCAGGGCAGGAGAGGGGAACACACCCACCCTAACCCACCTGAGCAGGTGAGGAGGGGAACACACCCACCCTAACCCACCTGAGCAGGTGAGGAGGGGAACACACCCACCCTAACCCACCTGAGCAGGGCAGGAGAGGGGAACACACCCACCCTAACCCACCTGAGCAGGTGAGGAGAGGAGGGATCCCACTGCAAAATGCAGATCACTTCCAGAATGACACGTGAAGTGCCCCCCTCTTCCAGCCACCCCCCCATTCTTTTTAGCAAAAAGCCTTCCCAGGACCCTGAGCTGCATCAGCACCCCTTCAGGAAACAATTAAACTTAGCAATCAGAAGGTTCATGCACTAATAAAAATACTGTATGGTGAGTGGGCCAAGGGGTTTGGAGATGGATTTCCTCAGCCCTTTCCCATTTCTTTCTGGGGGTGGCCATGCTCCCTGTCCCCTCCAGCCTGGCCCTTTAAGTAACTTGAGCCTCCAGGCTGCAAATCCCAGTCTCCAGCTAAAAGGATGGAAAAGCTGTTTTCCCCTTCCCCCTTCCTTTTGAAAGCAACTGTTTTCTATCCTGTGGTGGGAAGAGAGAGATCTCCAAAAGACAGAGCAGCTTTCTGAGCATGCCCCTCCCGTATCAGGACAAACTGACAATTCCTCCTCCTCTCAATGCTTCTGGCTGCTCTTTTGCTCTTTTCCTTCCAGCTTTCCTCCCCTCCTGGCGGCTGATTTCCAAACCCTCCGCGGCTGCTGGGGGTTGGTACAAAGGTTTAATTATTTCCCTTTTCCCCCGGGTAAGGCGGGGACAACGGAGAAGGTCGGGCCCCATCACCCGGCACTGCGGTTCCCTTCTCCCGCCCCTCTCCCTTCCCTGCCCGTCCCCTGGAGCCCACCATGGACCCACGGGCAGTCTGGGGATGCTTTTGTCTGCTTTGCTTTTCCCTCCTGAGAGCAGCAAAAGGTAAGAGAGGCTTCGGGCTGGTTTAGGTCCTGGGACTCTACAGAGTCCGGATGCCCGGAGAGGTGAGATGCTCATCCCAGCATTTATCCTCCCCGGCTGCAGCCAAGCAGGGAACAGGGACCGGCAAACTGCCAGGGCATTTGGGGAGGGACGGCTCATTACCAGGAGGGGCCACAGGACAACACCTGAGCTCCACTCAAGGTGTGAGGATGTGATCTCCACCAGCGGATGGCAGAGAAGGAGCTGACTGACAACACTCTGGGAGGGGCTGAGGGTATAAAAGGCAGAGCAACCATTTTGTAAACGAGCGCATGGCTGACAGTCCCAGAGACTCCCAGAGCTGTAATTTTTCCTTATTCAGTCTGTTGTATTTTTTTGTTACGGTTTAAGAAACCTTTGAAGATCTTAAAGTGAGGATTGTTTCTCACATCTTCCAAGGACAGTACAGAAGTGTCACCTTCAGGCCAGTTTGTGATGATTTCCAGGAGCCCAGGGTGTTTTGGATTTCCCAATTAAGCTTGCTGTATATGTTATAAATAACAAATATAGGTATTGGCTTTCTCATTTATGCAAGTTATTTTGGATCACAAAAATCCTGATACAGTACAACTTGTAATTACTGCTTTTGATATAGTATAATCTGTCAGTTTATACATGTGCCCTATAGCTTTTATAAATAGTGGTGTAATGTATTCTATCTTAGACCATAGCTTAATAGAGACTGAAATGTTGAAAAATAAAATATATTCGTTAAATTGAGAAGATGGATTTAAGAAGACAAGTCAGAGGTTCAAACCAAACAAAAGAACATGTTAACTCAAATGAATGCTTGAGTATGTATGAACTACTATAAATATAGCATAAAGGTCTATATTGTAACAGTGTATATGCGACAGTGTTTGCAGGGGTTCGAGGATGAGGGAAGAGATGAAGATCTGACTCCATGTTTCAGAAGGCTGATTTATTATTTTATGATATATATTATATTAAAACTATACTAAAAGAATAGAAGAAAGGATTTCATCAGAAGGCTAGCTGACAATAGAAAAAGAAAGAATGAATAACAAAGGCTTGCATCGCAGACAGAGAGTCTGAGCCAGCTGACTGTGATTGGCCATTAATTAGAAACAACCAACATGAGACCAATCACAGATGCACTTGCTGCATTCCACAGCAGCAGATAACCATTATTTACATTTTGTTCCTGAGGCTTCTCAGATTCTCAGGAGGAAAAATCCTAAGGAAAGGATTTTTCATAAAAGATGTCTGTGCCATATATACAGAAGACAGTTTAAGTTAACTGTGTGCAGAGACCTGCACCCAAATGCGGGATTTTATCCCTTAACAAACATCCACAAATATTTTTAAAAAGAGAGCCATGTTACCCACATATGAGGGCAATGCCCTCACTCCAGGCAGCACTGGGGGCAGGATGGATTGCAGAGACTTTTCCTTTGCACCCCCAGCCCAGCGTTGGCACTGAGGATGAAGAGGCACTGAGGTGACCCTGAGAGGAAGTGCAAGGCACAGGGTGCAGCTGAGGAAGGACAGCGCTGTGCTGGGCTCAGAGGTGAATCTGAGCTCCCCAGCACTCTCCAGTGTGGAGAAGGTCCTTTCTGCAGCTGTTACAGGGGACCTGGAGGCTTGCTGCAGACATACGGCCGCTTCTCGGAGCAGTTCCCAGTCTTCAATCTCTTGTCAGCCAGGTACACACACTCAGAATCGCCGTGGACATAATCCCTGCAGGGAGGAGCAGAGGCAGCGCTGGCTGCCAGGGGAAGCCCTTGTGCCCCTGTGCCCACAGGCCCTGCCTGGCTCCCCAGCACTCACGGGAAACTGTAGCTGCTGCTGTCCCCCCAGTGCAGGCGCTCGCCCCGTCTGCGCAGCCCGAGCCAGCAACTGCCGTTCCCACAGAGGCGGAAGAGCAACTCCTGCCCAGGAGAGAGGAGTGGGAGCTGCCCCGGCCCCTCTGAGGCACATGTGCCTGGGGCTGCCCCCGCACGCCGGGCCTCCTTCCCTGCAAGGCCCCGGCCCAGGAGTGCCCCCAGGCTGCCCTCAGCCACCCCACCCCGCCCGCAGCCCCTCACTCACCATGGCCTCCTCATCCTTGACAATGGCCAGGGAGGCATTGAGCTCGGAGCACCGTTCCTGAGCCTGCTCCCAGGTGCCGTAATCCCTTGACAAGTTGTAGCAGAACCCCTTGTACTCAACCCAGTAAAAGGGACAGCTCAGAACTGATGGCGGAGTCGCAGGTGTAACTGGAACCTGTCGTGCTGCAGGGGGAAGAGGAGAAGGTCTGAGGATTCCCCTGTGCAGGGAGCAGGGAGCTGGCTCTGCCCCTCCCTTACCTGCCAGCACAGCCACGGCCGCCCCCAAAGCCAGCACCAGGAGCACGAGCACACTCAGCACCGCCGTGACCACGGGATGGGACCTGAACCATTTACCTGGAACAGGAAAGAGCTGCTGGCTACCAGAAGCAGAGCCAGCCCTGCAATCTGCTCAGTCCATGCCCAGGGAGCAGAGCTGTGGCTGCGCTGTCCCCGCTGCCCAGAGACAAGCGCAGCCTCCGGGAGCTCTCCGGTGCCCACAGCCCCGGCGGCTCTGCAGCCGCTGCAGCCCAGCTCCCTGCCTGTGGGAAAAACGACCCCGTAATTTTGGCTTTCGCATTTATGTGTTAACCTATGCATGTTATTAGTGATTATAATGACTTAGATATAGTATCAATTATAACTCTTTCTAGCTGGATGCTAGTATAATATAAACTATCAGCTTAAGTACACACTGTATTGCTCAAAGACATAGTAGTGTAATCAATAGCTATGTATCCCTTATGAAAATAATAGCGTGATGAATGTACTGTTACAGACCTTAGCAAAACATCAGATGTGAAAAAAGGTTTTGTGTGACTAAAAACAGTGTAAGGCCATCCACTGACCAACCTGACCAAAAGATAAAATAACAGTGACAGAAACCAGAGCACCGGAGGACAATCATAGAATACCATGCTAAAATTATGGAGAACATACTAAAATTTTATCAGAGGATGTGAAACATCAGAACTGAGACACAAGAAGAAATAAAATATATTCACCTGACACCCAGGATGTCATGCAGATAAGAGTGTGAAGCAGTCAGACAAAGGAGTTCCCAGAACATAAGAAAATGTGAAAGAAGGTCTGAATAAAGCATTAAGCACATGAATACGCATGTAGTTCAGCGAGGTAACAGTATAAACAGAACATCATCAGTATATCCCCGTGTGCTCTTTCGCAGTTGACCAGGAGCACCCAGCGCTGGAAATATTGTCCCTTTTTATCCTATTACTATTACAACATTATTATTATTATTATTCACCTTTCAAAACCAGTGAGTTCTATATCCCTTACCTGTGAATGGGGCAACCCGGCACAAGGAATTCACCACAACTCCCAACGTCCCCCCTCACCGCAGCCTCCTCCGCCAGCTGCGAGACACAACCGACCGCACACCTGTGCTGGAGCCGCTTCCGAACTCCGCCACCGCCGCCTCGCCGGGCTCCGGGTGCCGCCACTTCTCTGCCATGACACAGACGGGCGAGCGCTGCCGCTCCGGTCCCCACAGCGCAATATGGCGGCGGTGGGACGGGGGATTGTAGGGAGCGTCGGTTTTCCGCCTAATCTGACCAATCAGCGGGAGGGAGCGCAGCCAATCGCGGCTCGGAAGCGCTGCGGCCATCCCGTCCCGCCTCACCCCGGGCAGGTCCCAGCTGGCGCGGCTCCGCCCCTCGCCGCTGCCGCCGGAGCGTTCCCCGCTGCCGGGGGCGCGGCTTTGCCCGGCGCGGCTTTTCCCTCAGTGCTGCCGGCGGGGCGTTCCCCGCTGCCGGGGGCGCGGCTTTGCCCGGCGCGGCTTTTCCCTCAGTGCTGCCGGCGGAGCGTTCCCCGCTGCCGGGGGCGCGGCTTTGCCCGGCGCGGCTTTTCCCTCAGTGCAGCCGGCGGGGCGTTCCCCGCTGCCGGGGGCGCGGCTTTGACCGGAGCGGCTTTTCCCTCAGTGCTGCCGGCGGAGCGTTCCCCGCTGCCGGGGGCGCGGCTTTGCCCGGCGCGGCTTTTCCCTCAGTGCTGCCGGGGGCGCGGCTTTTCCCTCAGTGCAGCCGGCGGGGCGTTCCCCGCTGCCGGGGGCGCGGCTTTGCCCGGCGCGGCTTTTCCCTCAGTGCTGCCGGCGGAGGGTTCCCCGCTGCCGGGGGCGCGGCTTTGCCCGGCGCGGCTTTTCCCTCAGTGCTGCCGGCGGGGCGTTCCCCGCTGCCGGGGGCGCGGCTTTGTCCGGCGCGGCTTTTCCCTCAGTGCTGCCGGCGGGGCGTTCCCCGCTGCCGGGGGCGCGGCTTTGTCCGGCGCGGCTTTTCCCTCAGTGCAGCCGGCGGGGCGTTCCCCGCTGCCGGGGGCGCGGCTTTGCCCGGAGCGGCTTTTCCCTCAGTGCTGCCGGCGGGGCGTTCCCCGCTGCCGGGGGCGCGGCTTTGCCCGGAGCGGCTTTTCCCTCAGTGCTGCCGGCGGGGCGTTCCCCGCTGCCGGGGGCGCGGCTTTGCCCGGCGCGGCTTTTCCCTCAGTGCTGCCGGGGCGTTCCTCGCTCCCGGGGCTCCGCTTTGCCCGGCGGCGCCGCTTGGCCCCGGGCGAACTCACTCCGCCCCCGTGGCTCCCCCGTGCGGCGGGGCGAACCCCCGGCCTCTGCCGGAAGGGTTCGGACTGCCCCTGGCTACTGAAGCCTCACGCACCGTAAAAATATGTTGAAATGCTTTCTTAAAGTTAATCTTGTGTTTTTCGTGGACTCTGATTTCTCTGACAATTGTTACTGGAGAGATTCAAAGTGGTCAATACAGTGCCTCGTTATTATCATGTGCAGCATAACACAATCTAATTTCTTTAACAGAAATACTGATAATATTTACCATATCCTATTACACTAAATACATTCTTGAGAAGCTCCCGGTTTGTTGCACACTGCCAAATTCTACGTTGTTGTATCTTTCGGTACAACTGCACTTTAAAAAGTCCTAGTAAATGTATGGTTCCTTAAAATTTGCAGCTACCATGAGTTTTTCTCAATGTTGAATTACATAGGGTCAATGTATTTGTCACACTTCTCTAATCCCTCCAGTAAATCCACCAGGCTGCTATTTCAGCCACACTTGGTTCACATTTTCAGCACCTTTTGATATTAATAGCAGCAGACTAAGTTACATATTGTAGTACCCAGAACTTTTAAGGATACTGATTGTTAGTTCAGTTATGTTTTATTTGAATGTGATTTTAGTGTTGCTAAGATTAAGCAAAGTTAGATCTGAAAAATGTTAAGTTATGCTTTATTGCTCTATTGAGTTAATTTTGTTAAGAGTCATGTATGTCAAGGTGGATTTCTGTCAGGTTTGAGTGTTGCTGAGTTTGGACAAGGTCAAATTTAAGTCTTCACTTTAAGCCATTTCATGTTCTATTCTAACTTCTTTAAGATCAGTTTTTATTCAGTATTAAAGATGTTAACTTTTAGTTCTCTTAAGTGTACTCTAGTGCTACTGCAATAATTCCATTCCAATTATTTAAAGTCCTATATTAATTTTGTTTAAATATGTTTGTTTACATTGCAAGATGGAGTTATTTCCTTCTAGAGGTAAGACAGATCCAACTGGAACACTGATTAACACCTGCTTTGGATAGAAGAAGATACAGTTTGTTGGGCCCTTGATCCTCTCACAGATTGCACAGGTGTCAGTGCTGCACTGCCTGACAGAATCATTGATTGTGATCTCTTCTGGTTTATCTTCCACAGATAATACAGGAGAGTGGGCGGTTGTTCTGCATTATGGCTGTTATCCATGGTAAGCTGTTCAGTGTTTCATTGCTATGGATACAGAATGCTGGAAGAATATTGTCTCCAATTCCTGAGACAGTTACAGCTGATATATGGGTTCCATCATGTGAATTCACTCATTTTTATAACAGGCATTATTCATAAGACACCATTACCTTATTTATAGCTGGCTTTTCATAAACTTTGACATATCTTTGTGTGACTATCCACAAGCCATGGTGTCACTTTGGGATCTCTCTGTTTTGCTCTCCAGCTGCAGATGCATCTCTCTGAACAGGCTGTCTGCAGCCATTCCTGCACTGCCTGCTCAGCCTTCAGTCCCTTCTCTTGCTCCAGCAGGGCTGCTGTGCCCTGACCCAGGGCTGTCTCGTGATTTTCCTGTGTTTCCAGAGTTCCAGGATGAGATCTCTGGGCTCTGTCAAAAGCCTCATCTGAGCTGAGGTCCTGTGGTCTTTCCTGACTCTTTTGTGGCACATCCTTATGGGACGGGGCTGTGACCTGCTGAGGGCAAGGCTGCTCCTACTCTGTGGCAATCAGACACAGCCCAGTTATTCTCTCAGAAGGGGATTTGCCTCAATTTAGTCTCCTAAAAATAGGGGAAATAGAGTTTCCCTTTTCAATTTCCCTCAACAAAAACCACCCTGGGGGCTTTAGGACACCTTTTTCATCTGTGAAGGCCCCTTCAAATGGAGGGTCCTCCTCAAGGGAACTCTTACAGTGGCACATCAAGAGGTTCCTCTCAAGGGAAGCCCTTTCAGACCAGGGACAGCCGTGTTTGCTCTCAGTTTGAACCTCAAGATGATGAAAATGGGGCTCTTTCCCTCAATGCAAACAGCACCATAAAGGGTTTCTCCTTCCATTTCAACATGAAAATCACGGAAAGCAGTGACTGCCTGCCGAGGGAGTAACCTAAATAATGAAAAATGTGTGTTTTCCGTCAATTGAGACCCTTCAAATCACAGGTGAATGGGGATCCTCCCCAGTTCAAAACACAACTACAGAAAAGCTTCCCCTCCTCCATTTAAATCCCTTTACTCCTTGTAATGCCCCATTTCTGAGGGCTCAGTGGGGGAATTCGGGGCACTTCTGCCGACTCACTGGTCACCCCTGGGGCTGCTGCCCCTTGCACAGTGCTGAGGAGTTCCCTGCCAGTTTCCCTCTTCCTGGCAAGCCCCGGCAGGGATGGGGAGAGCACCGGGCAGGAGCTGGGAGCACTGTTCCCTCCCAGTGCTCCTGATTCCCTCCCAGTGCTCCTTCCTGCTCACTCCCGCTGCTCCCACTCTCCCTCCCAGCTCCCTCCCAGAGTTCCCAGGATCTCTCCCAGAGAGATTGAATCAGCAGAACTGCGTGGTCTGCTCTTGAAGAGGCAAGACTTTAACTGTCAGGAGAGAAAACCCAACTGGGAAAACTACACACTGTCACACAGGAACGCGTAACGAGGATGGGTTTCTCTTGCTGGCACAAGGAGAGAAGGAGAAAACTGACAGGAATATTCTTCATCATTCTGCCCACACTTTGTCAAACCCTCCACCTCCTGCACTTCAGGAAATAACAAGTGGCTTCTGAGAAGCGACTTTGATGTCAGTGAGCAGGTTATTATGGATTAATCTTGCACTGGAAAGCAGTCTTCACACCCTACTGCTCTTTGCATCACCCAAAGAGCTTGGAGGCTGCTGCCCAGGGAGCTCCCGAGTTGTATCTTCGTGAGAGTCTGTCCGAAATATCCTTCATTTTTGCCTCACAACTGTCATGAAGAAAAGACCACTGAAAAGTTAAAAACTGTTGAGCCAGTGGGGAGAGGGAAGTCATGCACTTCTCAGCTCACTGTTTCCAAAGGTGTTGTTCGCAGAACATGCCACGCTGAACTTGAAGGGGGTGTTCTGCCCTTTCTGAACAATGGACCTGGACTTTCTCCCCACCTCCTGGCCTGGCTGGTCTGAGCTCTGGGGTGGTCCCTCCTCCAAGACAAGACCCCTCTCGTCTGCCTTCAACCATCGTGACAGACAAGCAGAGATGTGAGCCTTGTCATCAAGGAACCGAGACAAGAGACCCCTGTGCAAGGAAAGCCCCTCGTACCTTCTTCCAAAGACTGGGACTGAACCCCCCAACTCGGGGCAGGTGTGCACTGGGGGGAAGGGGAAAGCTGCCCAGAGTAAGCGCAGGTGCGAGCTCTGTGCCATGAAAACAACGGTGCCTGTTGCCTGGCTGGGGTTTGTGTACCCCCTGTTCTTTCACCCCCCCAAGACCTTGGTTTCAGCTCCCCTTCCCCCCAGAGAAAGGCAGTATAACTGAGGTCCTGGTGAGCCGTGCCTTTTGAGATCCCCCCAGACGTGGCCTGGTGAGCTTTCCACGGCTGCACCTCGAAGGAGAAAAGCAGCATCACGTTTCGCTAGCTATACCCAACTCCCCTCCTTTCCTCCCTCTTTTCTTTATCTTCTCCTTTTTTCCCCAATTCCCTTCACCAAAGCATTTCTGTGGTGGTTATTTCAATAAAACTGCATTTGTTGATTTGTTATTGCAAATCCCCTGTGCCTTGGTTCGTTATTTTGCACCCTAAAATCACTGTGTCACCCGTTCACTGGGACAGAACGTGACATAATTCGCGTCACGGACAGGATTCTGGTAGCCAAAGAGATTTGCAGGTTCTGTTTAGTCTGTATCAGGGGAGAGAGAGTCTCTCGCAAACTGCACACACCTAAAAAGGCAAATCTCATGCTCAATTGGGCGCT